AACCTGAACCTCCCCTGGTGCAATTTAAGGCTATCACCTCTCATGCTACTGCTGTCACCTGTGAGAAGAGCCCAATCTTGCCACAACCTCTTTTCATGGCCCATACAAAAGATTCATCAGTGCTAGTTTTTTCTATTAATGATACAATAAATGTGTTCATATGTATATATGTGTAATCATATGTTCATACTGGAGCCCAGAAATGTGGGTTCTACTAGACAAAAAGGACTGAAGGTGACTCCATACTCCCAGCAGCCAGGCAAGGGTGCTGGCCTCTCTGTACACTGCAGGGTGGTATCAATCTGGTGAATCTAAACACTTCATCATTTTCTCTTGGCAAGCCTTCGTCTCCTGGCTTCTTTATTTTTTTAAATTTGTTTCACCAACAATTGCATTTGGCTTGGAATCGATTTGTTCTGTCATAGCACTTATGCCATCCATGCCTAACCTGCAGTCAGACTCTCGTAACATCTTTAACAGCAATCCATCTGCCTTCCCTCCTGTCTGTCCTACCAACACTGCTGTATGAAAAGAAATCACTGCAGTGTCTTGAATGTGTTCCAGGGAAGGGCCAGACAGTGCACTGGGAAAAAAAAATGTCACAGTCTGCACAAGGAAGAAGACAAGCTTTGTTTAATCTCTGCCTCACTCTGAGCACTGTGTCCTGGCTCTGAGAAACATGAGCTCAAGCTGAGTCTATTTCCTTGCGAGTTGAGTAATGGGCAGCCTGGCTGGCTTGCCAGGAAGCGTAGCCCAGGGCTGTGCAGTGCACAGCTTCCAAGAAGAGAAGGACTTATTTGTAAACAGAAAGCAACAGCTCTTGTTTATGTGAAGTTTCACTTTGACAGGTGCCAAAACAAAGCCACCAGTCTCCCATTACAGGGAATGAGAATGTTCAAGCAGGACTGTCTGTATTGGACAATTGAAAGGACACATATGTGCTCCTGCCATTATGCTGGATACAGGACTGGAGACTATTTCATGATTGAGGAAACTGGTTCATAGGTATCCTGATAATATTGGCACTGTGGGTTCAGGAGAAGAAAGCACGTATACAAATTCAAATGCAAGTCTCACTCAGCAGTAAAACACGCTGCTGTATTTACATTCCAATAATCATCAGACAAACAGTTATCTTTCTTTTCCCAGAAAGCTGTATCCTGAATTTGTTCTCAGAGAGGAAGTGGCTCATGGCCTCTCACACTCCCCTCTTTAATGCCTGCTATTTTAGGATTGCTCTTCTCCTTCCTTGCCCCTCTCCCTATAAATCTGGAATCACTTTCATGCATGAGGTTATTTCATAAAGCCACCTTCTCAGCATTTGAATCCAATTTTAGATTTTTACACTTAAAAATAAACACCCAACCGAAAAAAAAAAAAAAAAAAAAAAAAGGTGATCTACATATAGAGGGAAGAAGAAAAAAAAGAAAACTCCAATCACTGTTTCAGCCTTTGCAGTCTCAACCATATTCAGCAGAGTCCCATTTATTTACTGTGGGGGATGTGTAGTCTGTGGATGGATCTGCTTAGTGAAGATTTAGTGCTGAATGGGTGATGCTGAAAGAAAAGGAGACCAGTTGTGGTGTGGTGCTTGGGGATGACTGCTCAGTATGCTGCCCAAAATAAGCACTGCACGCATGCAAATGAAAAAGCTCTTAAAATTCCACCTCTTACATAGTAATGGGCCAGCTCTCAGAGAAGCTGCTCTGTAAAATAAGTTATTGGTGGACGATTGCATTTTACTTTTATACTTTTCTCTTAAGGACATAGAAATGTATTATTGGCCATTTGTAATGGGCAATGTTTGCAATAGATCCGTTCAGTCATCAGCTGTAGTCAGATGTGTAGACATCATTCTAACACAGGCTGAGACTGCAGGCTGTCAGCAGGAGCTGGAAGACAAAATAAGAAACCCAGCGTATACTGTCTTCTACATGGGAAATTATTTTATCCATCCTAATAGGTTGATGATTGATGATCTCAGAGACTTTTTCCAATCTAAAAGGTTCTATGATTTTTGACTCTATAATAGTTATCTTCTCCCCTCAAATCAAGACTCTTCAAAGAGAAAAGGGTTTGTATTCAAGGTAAGTGTCCAAGCTTCAAACAGCTGTAATGACATGTCTCAAAGGCAGGGAAAATGTCCAACTGAAACATTGGTCCCCATGTATTATCCCTGTGACACCACTTGGGGGTTGGGGGTTTCATTTCTTCCCTTCATGCTGTGGGGCTGCAAAGCCAGTCTTTCCCATCCCAGCCTTTTTGTGAGATCCTCCAACCCCCATCTGGGCAATTGTGTTTTGTAAAATTATTACTGGAAACGTGCCCAAAGGATGCTAGCGATGCTCGGACACTAGTGACATTGTGATTTGGTTTAAATAAAAGAATATCCATCTTAACTATTACAAAATGAAAACTTCTGGAGGCTTAGCACTCACAGAAATAAGTTTTGTTATTTTTTAATCCTCCCTAATTGCTGTAAACTTGACCACTCCTCTTAAAATTATACATAATTGGGCTGTTCTCACAGCACCCAACAGAGAGCAGCCATACACAAACACTAACAAGAGTTAATTCCTTATCAGACCTGATTCCTTCTTCCTTGAGGAAGTTACAGATTGGGCTGAGGGTACGCAGCGGTCTTGTGACACAGCACAGGTGGATTTGCAGAGGATGGGATTGGTCAGGTGCTGGATCCATTTTCAGGGCATGAGTGTTGGCTGTTGGGAAGAGACACCAACTCATGCCTCCCTGCATAATAACCTTTTCCTCAACACAGAATCACATCTTACCAAGGAAGGAGAAAGGGTTTTTCTGGTTGAATCTCCCTCAAGAGAGCCTTGGAGAACCTGAACTACTGTAAAGTGGGACAAATACAGCCCCACTTCTTACACTCAAACCCCTGTCCACAGGTGCCAAAATTAAGATATTTCTCTGCAAGCTTAAATGGGTTGGTTTGGCTGAAATTGATCATTATTCTTCAAAATGACTTATGATCCAGAGAGAAGTGCCTGTGAAGCTGCAGAACACATTTACTTTGATTGACAGTTCATTTTTTTTCCCTACTTTTCTTTCTGGTTGTGCTATCAAGAACAAAAAGCTATTCAAAACAAATTATGAGTACAGAACTTCCTTACCTTTCTTTTGGATATGGTGTTACCAGCATACATCCTTAGGCTTTCCAAAATATCTGTGATTCATGTCTGGTGGCACGCTACCAGTGTGGAACATTTAGGACTCACAATAAACACTGGGAGACCAGGGACAAATTTACTACAATTGGCAGCAAATTCAGAAATCGTGTCCCTTGGCTTTCTTGTGGTTTACATCTATCATATGATGATGCTTTGTGTTCTAGACAAACTGTTTATGGCAAAGTTTTTGAGAAATGAATGCCCAGCAGTAATCCCCAAGTCAGTCTGTAAGGACAACAATAAATGGGTTGGTCTTCAAATGTATTCAGTGGCCTCTCTTTCAGAGGGTGCTATTGAGTGCTCAGTGCTTTAAAAATCTCTGGATTACTCCTGTGACCAACTTTCAATAAAAATACTCAATCTGATGTTCAGATATGCAAAACTGCTGAAATCCTCAGGGCATCTCAGTGCAAAGTGCCGTTGCTTCTTCAATTGTTCTGGGATGGTTTTAGAGGTATTCAAGGAATAAAATGGGAGTGCTAATTGGGATATTTTTCAAATACTGCAAGAAATAAGGGTCATATGACAGTTGAGAATTGGTTCTTATCACCTTTATCAATGGTTTATCAATGAAAAATGTAGCACAATATCACTGCTCCCCATGCCCATAGCTTTCTACGTTATTTGCAGTACAACAAAAATCTCTTTGCAGCCACGTGTTTATTTGTCTTGCTTGGTGTCCTTTGTGTTACTCCCACACATTGGACTTGAAAGCTTTCTTTTACAGTTTTAATATCTTTCATTTCTGCTGCCCTGAAGGGCCTTGATTTTGCAGCCTGATACACGGAGCTGATGGCAAAGCTCTCTTTGTTTCCTTCAAGGGAAGACCTTGAAGGCCCCTGAAGTTGCTCAGCAACGTTTCTCTTCCTTTTAAGGGCAAGCTGAGGGAGACAGCCTGCCTTCATCTTTCCGTCTTACCAGCGGAGAGGGAGGCAGGCACTGAGAACAGGAAATGATGACCAGCACTCGAGTCCTGCAGCTCGAGAATCATAGAATCAAAGAACCATTAAGGTTGGAAAGACCACTAGGATCATCCAGCCCAACCAACTGTGACTGCTCTAGACCATGAACCTCAGTGCCACATCCACCCTTTTATCAAACACCTCCAGGGACAGTGACTCAACCACCTCCCTGAGCACCCAGCCTTGTGCCTCAGCCTCTCCTCTGCGCCTTCTGGTGGGCTGCTCTGCAAGGCCGAGCATCACTGAGCACAGAGCCCAGCAACAGACCCACATGCATGAGAAAGTAAAGCTTTTCCCAACAACATTTGCCATAGCCTTTTCCCTAATGGGATCACTGCCATGCCTTACTTATTTACAAAGATCCCTTCTTTACAAGCAGAGAAGATTTAAAACTGTATTTAAAGGAGGGTACATTCAGATGCTTATCTTGCTCAAAAAATCTTTAGTGATTTTGTATTGTACAAAGTCTTCTTTTTGCAGGCATAAATGCTGAGCACGGAAATTACAGCCACTACTAAAAGATGGACAAACTATTTCAAAAATATCAGCATCTACCTCAAATGCAAGACTGTTCAATGCTTAGGATTAATCATAGCACCATTAGATTCCACTGTAACAGCAAACTGTATCAAGTTATCACTTACAGCCGATGAAGTGAATGCATATACTGCAACACTAAAAATAAATCAGTGTCTAGCAACAAACAGCCATCATGTTTCCCACTGGAGGCAAGAAGCACAAGAAAAAAGCAAGGAACAGTGTATGAGAGGGAAGGGATAGGGAGACTGTTCTGAAAAAGCTGTCGGTGCAAAATCCTGTTCCTGGGCACAGACCCATCACTTACCTGCCCATGCAGACCTGTGCTTTCCAGGGTTTCCTTCTACAGTATGCCATGCTTGTATGACTGGAAGGAAACTGCAGCACAACATTGCAAGGTATTGACTGCATATTACCTCCCCAAAGCTCTGCCTGAACTCCACGACCTCCTTCAGCTTTGTCTCCCAGCTGTGTCTTGTTTCCCACAGGTTCTCTCACATGCTATTTCCCACCTCTGGATTCTCCATTAAAAACATGAACCAGGATTACCCACCTCCCACAGCCGAGTCATCTTTGCTCTCTCTGCCTTTAAATGACATTTGCTGCTGACAAAATTGCCTTCATCTCCCTCCTCAGCTCTGCAAAAACACCAAATCAAGCTGTTTCTACAAACCGCGGGCAAAACCTCAACCCACCTCCCCAGTCAGGGCCTCCAGCAATCATCAAAGCTGGATTTTAAAGCTTTTTGCTCAAATGAATCTTGTTTTGAAATGGCAAAGATAACAGCTTGCAAAGTACATACATTTACATACCTCACTTCATTCAAATTAACTGGGAAAGATAAGAATCTCCAGCAAATTAATTTTGCTAATGTTTTAAACTGTGAATTTCAATCAAAGCTGAAAACCAAACCAATTCAGCTAAATTGCTGACTCTTGTTACACTTAAAGTGATCTAAAAGCATGCATCAATAAGCAAAGCAAGTTTGCTTTGTGCAGCTGAGCTCCAGACTGATTTGCTGCTTTCCAGGTTTGTCTGATAAAAAAAGCCACAGTCAGCTCATAAGAAAAAATCAATCTGGAGCCAAAGAGCAATAAAAATGTGGTAGTGAGTTCAGAACATTTTGTCACAGCTAAAATTGGTTTCCTATGAACCATCTGAAATAATACGTGCTGCAAAGCTTTGCAGCTAGCAGCCATTGAGATAGCAAATGCCTGGTTGAATAACTGTTCCAGAAACGAGGGAGAAAATCTACTTTTTGTCCCAGGGTGAGGGACAGGGCTGAGGTTAGGAGTTGAAGTTATGCAAGGAGTTTGGAAGCGAATTAAGCATGCAGTGCCCCTGGGTACTTGAAACCACATCTGCTCTGGCTGAGCTGGAGGAGCCTTGTTGGACACACTCAGCACAGCTGTGCATCTTCCCACTGAACTCCAACCTGCAGAAATGACTTCCCAGTACTGCCAGGCCTTTGTCTCACTTGCTGTCTCTGCAAGACACTTCTACCTGCAGAACAATCACACCTCCGTTGCCCCCAGTGCTTATGCAGACTGGAAACCCCAGGTGCAAGGCAGTGGGTTAGCAGAATGGTTGCCTTACTCTGCTCTTGCTGGAATGTCCTGTGTGCTGCTGTGAGATACTTGTAAACAATAAGCCACGGGCATCAGTCTGCTGAACTCTGCACAAACTATCAGCACTTATGCATGAATTACAATGCAATTAGCAGCAGCAAGATCACAGAAATATTTGATCTCCAGTAGACAAAAAAGCAACAGATGAAGCTGACAGAAGGTCATATAGCAAGAGAAGGCGCTTGTGACTCTACTGTCCAACATCCACACACAGCTCTGTACCATAGAAGTAGATATGGAAGAAGTTCTTGTTTTGCTTTTCTATTACAGAACCATTAAGATTGAAAAACACCACTAAGACCATCAAGTCCACAACCATCAACCCATCCCCACCATGCCCACTAGCCATGTCCATCAGTGGCACATCTCCACGTTTCTTGAACACCTCCAGGGATGGCGATGCCACCACCTCCATGGGCAGCCTGTGCCAATGCATCACTGCTCCTTCTGAGAAGAAGCTTTTCCTAATTTCCAAGCTGAACCTCCTCTTGAGCAACTTAAGGCCATTTCCTCTCATCCCTTACCTGGGAGAAGAGGCCGACCCCTCCCAACACTACCTCCTTTCAGATAGTTGTAGAGAGCAATAAGGTCTCCCCTGAGCCTCCTCTTCTCCAGACTGAACAATCCCAGCTCCCTCAGCTGCTCCTCACAAGGTTTGTGCTTCAGAACCCCCACATCTCCATTGCTGTTCTCTGAACATGCACTGGGGCCTCAATGTCTTTATTGTAGGAGGGGCACAAAGCTGAACACAGTGCTCTCTGATCAAGCAATTTGGGCAGACAAAATTCTACCTTTGTGGAAAGTTTCTGACCAAAGGTTTGGGAAAATAATAAACACAGTTATAGAATGGTTTAAGTTAGAAGTGACTTCTGGAGATCACTTGGTTCAACCCCTGCTTCAGCAGGGACACCCAGAGCGGGGTGCCCAGCACTATATCCAGTGGCTCTTAGAGATCTCCAAGGAGGAGACCCCACAAACTCTGGACAGCCAGCACAGCACAGATATGCTCCTGTTCATCAGAGGGAACCTCCTGTGCTCCAGTTTCTCACTGAGAAACAAGTCACTGCCTCTTGTCCTGGCACGGCTGGACATATCTTGGATCCTGGGAGCTGCACTCAGCCAGCCTCCACAGCCCCAAGCTGGAGTGAGGAGAGAAACGTTTCTGAGTTCTGGCTTGTGTTGGAATGTTTGCTTCATGCACAGCTGACAGTGTTTTGTAACACATAAACACACTGCTGCTAAAACCTAAATGGTGTAATTGCCAGTCTTTGAGAATTCTAATTATATGGAGTATTAGGAAATAACTCAAGAATTTGGATGAGATCAGGGGATTTGGATGAGCTGTCAGTGACGCAACCTCTGTGCCTCCAACTCCCTGCAAATTAATCATTTTCCACACTTAATGTGTATATTCCCCTTGTAACACGACGGCTTCATATGGTGCCCTGCATCCCTTCCTGCTGCACCACAGCCGCCTTGGTCCTGCTCAGCCCCATCACTCAGGCTGTTCTCCTGCTTTCACATCCTCTTACATCCCATTATTTTCAAGTTTTTCTGTTTATTTCTGCCTCGTGGAAGGTGAATTTTCACTTTTATAACATCAGTCTTGCGGCTTTCCTACCACTGTTTATGTTTTCATATTTTTAAGGTTTGAGGTGCTTCATAATCAGCTCTGCATGATAACAAGATACAGAGCTGCAGAGAACCAGGGCTACAAATCCAGCTGACAGTGAAAGGTTTGTTTGCTCACTTCTGCCTTAGATGGGTTCTTGCTGTTCCCGTTAAGCATTAGGGGATGAAACCGGGAATACATTAATGGGTACTGTGAGAAATCTGCTTGTCACTTTGTAATAACACTTAGTCTAAAATGTTACTCTGCTCCTTATCAAACTGTTGCCTCTTTGTACTAGAACTATGAAGATGCTGTTCTCAGACTGGGGCAGTACGTACTGAATTCTACCTGTTTTGCACCCTTTGAACACCATGAGCATGTACTGTAAACAAACCCCAGAGTGTAACTGGAATAACTTTTACTTTGAGATTGACCAAAACCTGTTGTAAACAAAGGGATTATTGCTCGGAGGCACAGTTTCTGTCTCATGTTGGGTAACTACAGGCTTCTATTCTCTTCTTCAGATAAAAGAAATGTTAACATTTAAATATTTTGCTCAAATTGTCTCCATGGAGTTAATTGAAGAAGCCTGTTGTGACCAGCAACTATTAACTTATACTAAATGATAACTATTTGCTTATAACAAATTTGTTTTAACACACTCTGAACAGATCTGTTGTTATCCCAATCCTTCATGCTCCACGTCGAGCACCAAAATGACTGCTGTGATTTAAGCTGGTAGGCAGCTCCCAGTTGGATGGAGAACTGGGGAAAAAAAACATAAAACCCAAGGGTTGAGATAAAGGTAGCTTAGAATCCCAACCCATCCCCACCATGTCTGCTAACCACGTCCCTCACTGCCATATTTCCATATTTCTTGAACACTTCTAAGGACAGTGACTCCACCATATCCCTGGGCAGTCTTGAACTTCCCCTGATGTAATTTAAGGCCATTTCCTTTCATCACTGACCTGGGAGAAAAGGCTGACCCTCACCTACTACACCCTACAACCTCATTGCATTGTCCTCATTGACCAGTAGTTTAATAGGGCAGAAAAGGAAGGGAAACTAATAATAATACAAAACAATCGATGCACAATGGAATTGCTTACTACCTGGTGAGTGATGTGCAGCCAGTCCCTCATCAGTGCCTGCCTCCCTGGCCATCTCCTCTAGTTTCACTGTTCAGCATGATGTGAAATGGTATGGAAGATTCCTTTGGTGAGTTTAGGCCAACTGTGCTGGTTCTGTCCCACCCAGCTCCTTGTGCACATCCAGCCCCTCACTGACAGTGCAGCTCAGGAAGCTGAAATGTCCTTGGCTCTGTGCAGCCACTGCTCAGCAACAACTAAAACGTTGGTGTGTTATCAACATTATTCTCATCCTAAATCCAAAACACAGCACCATACTAGATAATAGGAAGAAAACCAACTCTATCTCAGCCAAAATGAAGACAACACTCCTTCTATACATCGATGTCACGCTCGGGTCTTACACTTTGCAATACATCCTCACTAATCACCACCATAAACAGGATAAATGAAACATGGAGAAAGATGTGCATGAAAAACTGAGAGCACATGCCATGAATACACAGCATCAATACTCCTGTTTAATACGGTGTAAAAACAGATCAAAAAGGCTGGCTTTCATCCCACGTGAATTGCAGTTCCTGTCATTGCAGCCCTTGCACAGTATGCTTTCAAGCAACTGAAAAGATTTTCATTTTCAAAAACATTACATAAATAATTCTGGGATTTGAAATGTTCTTTGAAACTTTAAGACTGAAAACTGAATAATCCTCCCCTTTCAAGGATTACTCATTCTTCAGCCTTACACAAAACACAGAAGTGCATTAGCTAAAGAACATTCGGGATAAAGCTAGTGGTATTATTAAGCAGCGACTAGTTTTTATTTAAAACTTTGTCAGGATTATCAGTGATCAAATATGTCATAATGGATAATTTAAGGTAAATGTCTTAGTTTAGCTTTCCAACAGCTTGAATATAATGTTTCTATTCAAGAAGATAAATCTGTTTCTTCAGTTTTTAATTAGATGATCGTCATTATGTCTAAGTGTTGGTGACAAAACCGGACAAGTAATTCATTGGTAGTAATTACCTCAAGTAATTTAGCCATTGTTCTGCTTGCTTATTGTAATATTTTCTCCTTTATGCCATCTCTGAACATATTCATGAGACCAGCTTTTCCCATTATGATTTGCTGGCAGTCCCAGTCTCGATCCAGCTGGGGAAAGGCACCAGGCACATTTAGCAATAGCCAAAGAAGAGGGAACATATAGACAAGGACCCCTTATCTCAGAGAAAAAAAAAACAGAGAGAAAGGGTATTCATTAAATCTGTGAGCCAGAAACTACACGATATCAAAGAAAAGGCCTCAAAAAACATTGCAACTTTGGAACCGACTAC